AAACTAAGCTTATAGTAGTTTTTCAAAGCACTTGCTAGAATTGTTTTGCATGATTTTAATCATAAATGTCTTAGAAAGGATCCAAAGTGTAATGACAAAAATTTAGTATATTCATAGATAAAATTTAGCAATTTACAAAAGTGTTGTCATTCCTATTGACATCCATATGACATTTAGGATTTACTTTGGATTTACAGATTTATGCCCATACTATCAAGTTCCTATCACAATGAGGAATACACATACACATCACTAAATTAGAGATTGTCAGCTTCATAAACTTGTGTAAAGTTCAGCACTTTAGAAGGCTATGTTACACACTTGAGGCACAGGAATACACTTAACAAATACAAGAACCAGCAACAATTAAGGTCATAGTTACACAAACTATCGTACATCTATATTAACTTTTTCATTGGAGTAAAATTTAGAATCTTTTGGCTAGGTAATATATAGGCTGACATCACTGATACGGATTCTAATTTTAGATCTCTCCCAAGTTAGATGGAAGAGTACTAGTGAACCCAAATAGACTTTTCTACTGCACAAATGCATCTCAAATATACAATGTCCTCAGCTCAGTGTATATTGTGTAAAATGAGAGCGCTTGGCTGCCATCTTGCATGCATTAACTTCCTACATCCAGTACAATTTCTGCATAACACTTAAGTTAGTCCTGGCATAAATAGCCCACATATTTAGTATGGAGTTAAATTCTACTCATTTAATCTTAGGTTTTTATGAAGATACAAATCACTCTGACTTAGGCTCAGTTTTCTAGGTGTAAGTCAGCACAACACCCCTCACCCAGATCGAAGCTCCGCCTACTACCTGGTAGTACCTGCTAGGCAGGTGAAATACCTCCCACCTCTGCCTCCTGTTTGAAGGGGTCCATTTTCTCTCTCCTTTGTGGGAGACTTTGCCTTGTCAGCTCCAGTGGCAATAAACCGTCTTTTGACTCTATGTGACTTTGTCCATGTGGTCTTTTCCGTTTACTACCTTTCACTGGTGCTTGACTTGGATAGTTTCCCCCATGGATATTTGTCCCAATCCCCAGCGTTTGGGGGGCGGGGTCCTACAAGCTGACCCAGGCCTTAGCTAGCCCACAGGACTGCCAAGATGGCTTCCTATTGACTGAACTTTTTCCCACCCAACAGCAGTAGATTTGCCCTCACCCTCCAGGTAAGTGACCATGTACAGTAGGCCCAGGGATCAGAAACCAACTTCAGTAAGACCACTGGGCCATTACAGAGAGAAAAACCTTGGTGCAAGTTCCAGGCCCCACTCCAGGAGCCATAGGCTACCGGGCTGAAGGCCAAGGGACCCCACAACTCTAGGTGACCACCCCTTTTGCTGTTTCCTCCCTCCATGTTAGCTGAACAGAGGAGCACTGAGGACACTTGGTATCTGACTCTAGATTCAGCTCTGCAGGTTGCTCCCCATGAGAGGGGCACAGTCTAACATCCCTCAGGAGTCTCCTTTGGCTTGTTTTTTGAACAACCAAAAGACTCTTAAGCTTGAATCAGACATGAACCCTTGGGAGCTTATATGCTTATATAATCAGCTTTGGCCCAATATTCGCTGGATCACCAGGCTATGTGACCTGTTCATGGGACACTGGATCCCGATGCTATACAGGACCTATGTAACTTCTGCAAGTGTTCTGGCAAGTTAAAAGCAGCCAGCTACTTAGAGGCCTTCTCTTTTCTGGGTTCTAAATTGTTTCTTTGGTGCTCATGCTCAGCTGGCCAACTTCTCCTAGCCATGAGGCCTCCATCATATGCCCAAACACCTCCTTTGATGCTACAGATAAATTGTAGCCATTTTAGGCAAAGACATTACCAGCTCCCACTGCTGCTGAGGCGGGACTTCTACAAAAGGAGGTGGGACTTCCATCAGAAAAGCCTGGACTTCCACCAGAGGAGGAGGAATCTCCTCTACGGGGTGGTACTTCCTCCCACCCTCAACCCCCAGCTTTCTTCAACCCACCAATCACCCGAGCACTTGCACCCTCCAAGGTCTATGCTCTCCTCCTTCAGCACCCCCTATTCCTCGTCAGGCCCCCTGATTCCCTGATGGCACAAAGATGAGTCCAACCCAGCCTCGTGAGCCAGCCGCCAGATGACCAACTCGGTGGTGTCCTGGAGGTTGTTGGACATCTTGCAGCAATGTTGGGGCCGCCCTTACCCAGGTCCAGACTCTGGAGCCCACTCAAGGTCAGGTTCTGCCCCAGCTTCCCTTCTCCCCTCATGCGAGGTGACAGGAGCAGAGGGCATATTAGATGTCCATGTTCCTTTTTCACTAACTGATGCATCCCAGATGGAAACGCGCCTGGGCTCTTTCTCTTCCAGTCCCACCACCTACATCACGGAGTAGCAGCTTGTTGTCCAGCCTAGGAGGAATCCTAGCATGATGTGTGTGTCATCTTGAGTGGCACACTCCTGCTAGAATGCACCACCTTCTTCACCCCCGTACAGGTGCCTTACGGGAGTTCCTTCAACAAAGCAGCCCCCTAAACCTGCCCAACACAGTTTCTCACACAGCTTTCACAGACCTGCAAAGTATGCCAAAAGGCCAACCCCAATACCAATGTGCAGCCATCTTCCCAACCCATCAGGCTCGAGGTGACCTCCCAGAAATGGATTGGCAAGTTGCTTTTACCCCTATGCCAACTGTTCACAGGTACAAGCATCTGCTTGTTCTTGTAGACACCTTTACAGGATGGACAGAGGCATTTCCCACCACCACCCAGAGAGCCTCCTCTTGTGTCCCAGCTTCTTTTGCAGGAAAGAATTCCCCTCTTTGGCCTGCCAGCTTCCTTCCAGATGGACCATGTCCTGGAACTCGTTTCCTCCATAAGCCAGCACTTGGCTAAGTCTTTGAACACTTCCTGGCTCTTTCATATTCCCTATCCCCCTCAGCCCTTGGGGAAGGGGGAACCTGCCAACCGCCCCCTCAAACAGCTCTTGACCAAACTGTCTCTAACCTGAGATTGGTTAAGGCTTTCATCCTTGGCTCTTTTTCATCTGCAGGTTTTACCCAAAAAAGCCTTTAATACGAAGTGCTTTTGAAGTGATGTATGGCCGCCTACCTTTGCCTTCCTCGTTTCAGGCTTTGGATTCTCTGTTACCCTCCCCAATGCTGTCTTCTCTCCCTCAGCACCTGCCTACTTCTCTTTGGAAATATGCTGACTAATATAGCCCTCCGCCTTCCCTGTCATCCTCTGAGCCCTCATCGATGCTGACCTAGTGTACATTTCAAAAACTTACCTGCCACAGGCATCAAGTTCCACCAACCTTTCTGCTAAGTGGGAAGGACTGTAACATTATTCCCACAGCAGTGCAGGTTCAGGGCCATCCGCACTGGATTCATCTCTGCCACATCAAACATCACCTGCGGGATCCACCTTCATATATACCTCTAGCCAACTGGACCCGTCTCTATGGATAAAACAAGATTGGACAGTCTTCCTCCAGTCACTGAGGACCCAAAGGACCCTACTCTGGACAAGTAACATGTGTCTAACAGTACAGCCTTGGTCCACTTGGACAGTGCCTGACGCTCCTATTGACTACCTTGCCCCCTCTCAGCAGGAAGTAGCTTTCAAAGAACAGATCCTGGCTCATACCCCCTGCTTGGTACTGGTACCTATTCAACAACAAAGTGGGGAATGAAGTCAGTGGAATGCCCCCATCCAGACCTAAGTTCTGCCCTGCCTACTCACTGGTGGTACCTGCTGGGCATGTAGAATACCTCCCATCTCTAGCCTCCTGGCTGTATAAGGGTCCCCCTGGGAGACAGACAGGCACCTTTTTTGCCCTCCCTTGTGGGAAATTTGGCCTTGTCAGCTCCACTGACAATAACCCCTTTTTTCGCTATGTGACTTTGTCTACATGGTCTTCTGGTTAGAGTACAACATTTCACTACACATAACTTTCAATTTTCTTATTTTTTGGGGGGGGGGTCCAGTTGTAGGCCTGAACTCTGGGCCTGGGCACTGTCCCTCAGCTCTTCAGCTCAAGGTTAGCGCTCTACCACTTGAGCCACAGTGCCACTTCCGCTTTTTTCTTTTTGCTCATGTGGTGCTGAGGAATCGAACTGAGAGCCTCAGGCATGCAAGGCAAGCGCTCTACCACTGAGCCACCTTCCCAGCCCCCAATTTTCTTATTTCTTACATTAAAAATTATCTTAAATGATCTTAAATTTAAAAGAAAAGCAAGAGAAATAAATATTTATTTTATTTATTCAAGAAAGAATATTGAACATATTACAGTATAGTTCACTGAAAAGTTTAGATAGGTAATATTCTATACATCCTCTATAATGCTGTATTCTTCTTTTAGAATTACAATTCTGTACCCCATTTGGAAAGTGTTATGCAATTACACATAGCTCCAATTATTACTGTCACATTTTTTTCTTTTAGCAAAAATTCAATATTCAGTAACTTTTCTTGTTTTCTACACTTTTGATGATTGCCTAATCTCAATATCCCCACTGTTGCATTTTAATACTCAAGAAAATTGCTATTGTTGGTCCAGTTTAGTCCATTTTGAAAATGCAATTGACTGCACAGCAATGTACCAACATATAATATGAAATGATTAATATCACCTATGTGATATTATGTAAAAATGAAGTTCATGAATCAACATATATTAAATTATTCCATTAATTACTATTAGTGCTATGAAATAGTAATATGAACTGAGGGCATTGCTGCCCACCTTTCTTTGTAAAGGATTGACTCCTTGTAATAACCCTCACCTGGGCCTCTTCCCAGGAACCTATGGATTCTTAATGTCTCTAGATATGAGCCACCTCCTAGCAACCTCGGCTCTGTCTGGCCTACAGTTACCCCTTTTCCCACCACCCCATTACATTGAAACTCTCATGCCCATAGTATCTTTTGGAGGAAGTAGCTCCTTTTTTTTTTTCTTTTTTTTTGTGGGACATGGGGCTTGAATTCTGGGCCTGGGCGCTGGAGCCCCAGTCATTCATTAGATGGTGATGATTTCAAATACATCATCTGCTTGTGGCTTATAGAAGAAAGGGAGGCAGGACTCTTCGCCCCCGTCTGTGGGCTCTTGCTGGGGCTGGATGGCAGGCAGCAGCGGCACAGGAGGCTCTGCAGTGGGGTTCTCCAGTGGCCCAGGGGCCCCAGCCTCTCCAGGGACAGGCTTCAAGTTTTCTTGAAGATGCATATCTTCACAGCCTTGCTGCTTCTCCCTGAACTTGGTCTTCAGTGGGACTGAGAGGTCTGAGGGGGCCTCGGCAGCAGGGGTCTGGGCGGCTGCCAGCATCATGTCCTGGCACTCTGTGCTCTCTCCTGCAAGGCGCAGCAGCAGCTCCTTCAGCTCCTTCCTCTTCCTCCTCTTCTCCTGGGACAGCTGGCTCACACACTGCTCTTTCTCCTGACACAGTTTCTCCAGGACTTCTAGCTGTTCCTTGTACAGCACGATGGTCTCTTCCATGGTGGTCAGGTGTTGGGTCAGCTGGCTGCAGCGATGGTGGAGGTCATCCACGTGACTCTGGGGGTGCCCCTTGCCCGCCAGGTCTTCGGGGAAGCAGATGTGCAGCTGCTTCTTGGGCGCCTGTGTGTCCTGCTTCTTCTTGGCGAACAGCCTGTGGATGCAGCGCTGGGGGAAGGTGGCCTGGCTCTCCATCTTTCTCTGGCACTGGGCTGCCAGCTGACTCAGGCACCCGCAGCGGGCCTGCTGCTCCTGCAGCTGCCGGCTCATCCTCGCCTTCCTGCCTTCTGCGATGGACAGTGCGTCCACGTAAAAATCCCACATGCTCTGCGGGTTGTCTATGTCCTCTGGGACAGTCATATCATGGGGAGTCGCCTCCTCACCCTTGTCTTCGTCTTGGATCAGGCCTTCATCTTCCCTGGGGAAAGCCAGGGTGCTTAGCTGGGCCTGCAGCTGGGCACTCTCCTGTCTTGTTGCTTCCAGACACTTCAGAGTGTCCTCTAACTTCTCCCTTTCCATCTGTGCCAGCAACTTGCTCTGCACCTGCTCCTGCTTCAGCTGGTCCAGCAGATGGCTCTGATTCAGCAGGTGCTGCTGCAGGGCCTCCTTCTCTGACATCAGCTGCTGGCCGGTGGCCTTGTGCTGTTTGCAGGTGGCGCTCAGCTCCTGCACCTGGGCCAGGTACTTGTCATGCAGCTCCTGCAGATCCTCAGCTGCTTGGCGCTTGAACTCTGCCACGTCTTTTCCTTCTTTGAATTCCTCCTCCAGCTTATCCAGCTTCGCCTGCAGGGTTGTCTTCTCCTGCTGCTCTGTGTGCAGGATGCTGGCGAGCTCCCCCTTCTCAGCGCTCAGCCTCTGCAAGGCATCCTGCAGCTGGGCCAGCTCTTCTTTCAGCTGGCGGTTGTGCACCAGCGTGCGTTTCAAGGTCTCCTGTTCCTTCTCCATGGTCTCCAGGATCTTGCGCCGGTCCTCGGCATGCTGTGCCCATTCCTCAGCCTTCTTTTCCAGTATCCACAGCCGCTGCTGCTGCTCCAGGTTCTGGAGACTGAGGCTCTGGTTCTCCTCCACCTGGAGGTGAAGTTGCTCCTCCAGGGTCTTGAGCTCCTTCTGCAACTGCAGGGTGTGGGCCTGCAGCTGCTGCTCAGCCTGAGCTGGCCCTGCAGGCGGCTCTGGGGGCCGCAGCTCTGACAGCTGCTCTCTCAGCTCCACCAGCTTGCTCTCCAACTCCAACACCTGCCTCACCCCTTGCTCCTTCTCCTCTCTCAGCTGGCTCACCTGCTCTAGCAGCTGCTGGACTTTCTCCTTCCCCGTGGAGCTCTCCAGCCTCAGGTCCTCCGCAAAGGTGTCTCTCTCCTCCTTTAATTTTGCCACCAACTCCTTCATGTTGTTGAGTTGGCTTTCCAACTCTGCCCGCTCCACTAGTTCCTCTTGGAACTTGTGGATTTCCATTTTCATGTCGGCCTTCTGTGTCAGGAGCACTTCCAGCCTCTCCTGCAGCTCGGTGTTCTCATCCTCCAGGTCTTCAATACTTTTGGCCTTTTCCTGGAGCTGCAGGCTTCACGCGATTCAGGGCTTTCATGAGCTCTATGTTGTTGTTCTCAGTTTCATTCTGCGTGGTGTTGACTGCAGACAATGTTGTTTCCAGTTCTGTTATGCGCTGCTGTGCAGCCTGCAGGCAGCTGGTAAGACCCTTCTGCTCCAGTGCTCTTTCATCGGCCTCTTGCTGCTTGTGGGCCAGGGCAGATTGTAAGTCTGCTTTTTCTCTAATCAGCATCTGTATCGACAGCTTGTGCTGCTCCAGCTCTGCTTTCAGGGCTTTGTGCACACAGGCCATCTTCTCCTTGTCTTTTCCCTGTTGATCCTGCAGCTCTTGGATCTCAGTGCAGAGCTGCTGCTTTTGTATTGTGCTGGAGTCCAGGGCAAGCACCAGGTGTTGGTTGTGTCTCTCTAGGTCCTTGGTGTTATTGGGACCTGTGACGCTCTGGACCCTGGCAGCTGTGACAGTGCCCAGGGGAGGGGGAGGCTCAGGGTCTGCGTGGTCTTGGGCCGCACCCTTGAGTAAAGGACAGTCCCCAGCGGTGTTTGTCTTGGGGTTACCTCCCTCTTTCATTTTCCCCTTCTTGGATTCTCTAGGTCTAGCAGGACCATTCCTCTGCTGGTATTGTTGCAGTAGTTTCCTTCCTGCAACTACTTTTTTTTCTCTTTTTTTCTCAGACATCCCAGCTCTGGGACGGCGAAGGTGGGGGGGCCACATTCCCAGGCTGCCTAAACTCAACTCTGTTCTATCACCAGTAACTCGAATATCTACCTCCAACTATTTCTTCAAAATCAGCTCAATTTGCACACTCACCACTCACCACCTCTACCTCCTTCAACTCCTTTAGTGGTGTGAGCCAATAGAGGGGATCCCAGTGCTACTAGGCAGCATGGAATGTGGGCGTGGCCTCAACTCCTATATCCCATTGGCTAGAGGAACATGAAAAAATTAGTGGTGTGGCCAGAATCTTCTCATCCAGGTAGAACAGCCAAAGTCCACCCACATGGGGGACAGTTAGGGACCAGCTCTAGCTGGGGGCCTATTCAGCTGTAATGCAGACTACTCATTACCATGACCTCCATCCCACAATTGTATTCACTGAGGATCTTAGAAGTCACTCTTTGGCTACCTCCCTAGGTTCGGGCATCATACATAAGAATTCAGGCAACGAGGCTGCAATGCTTGGTAAGAAATGTACACATTATCCTGCCCATGTAACTGTAACTCCTCTGTACAGTATGTTCACAAATAAAATTAAATTAAATTAAAAAAATAAATAAATAAATAAATAAATAATAATAAAGAAAAAAAAAAAAAAAGAATTCAGGCTGTGAATGATCAATGAGTAGAAGTTCTCATTTCACAATGTGGCCTTCATATTATTACATCTTAGAGATTTCCTCTAAAGTAACTTCCATCCAGTCCCCTGACTGCCCTACTTCCCCAACTTTCCCAGTCCTTCCTGGCAGTCTATGTGTTCTCTTCCCATCTTCAGTCCTGGATTCACTTCCTAGCTGCATCTTTCTTATTGGTAGTATATCGTATATCCATAAGAGAGGGCTTTGGGTCCAACCAGCCTTCCTCTTGGGCTTCCATTCCAGGTATGAATCAGAATTGAAGAGTTGCCAAGGGCTTCCTAATACCCCATTCGTATGTTTGTGCTTTTCTCACCCACCCTGACTCAACTGCAGCCATCCCAGCTCTGCTTTTTTCAAGCTTTTTCTACAGCAGACCTGTGTACTGACCACATTTGAAATGCTTAATAACCATGACTAATGGCTATCCTATTTGGCAGACCGAGACATCTGATTAATTTTATTTACTCTTTAATAAAAGGCTTCCTAAGCACAAGTAGCTGATATAAAAATTCATATTGTAGTGTGGGTTTGAGTGTAAGCTAAAAAGATACAAGAAAGAATCCACAAGGGCTGGGAAGGTGGCTCAGTGGTAGAGCGCTTGGCTTGCATGCCAGAGGCCCTGGGTTCGATTCCTCAGCACCACATAAGCAAAAAGAAAAAAGCCAGAAGTGGAGCTGTGGCTCAAGTGGTAGAGTGCTAGCCTTGAGCTGAAGAGCTGAGGGACAGTGCCCAGGCCCAGAGTTCAGGCCCCACAACTGGAAAAAAAAATAATAAATTAAGAAAGAATCCACAAATACTTTGCATACAGTAATAGCTGACTGGCCTTTTTTTGTTTTTTGTTTATATTTTTTCCATTTTATTTTTTGAATATAGATTTTATTATAAAGATACTGTACAGAGGGGTTACAGTTACATGAGTAAGGTAATGAGTACATATCCTGTTGAGCACTGTTACCCCCTCCTTAGTTTTTCCCCCACCATCCCCTCACTTCCCATGCCACAATTCCCCCCTCCCCACCCCACAAAGTTGTAAAGTTCGTTTTCAACACAGTGTCTTGTGCATCTCATTGTTACAATGGGTCAACCTGGATCCTTCTTTCAGCATTTTGTTATTTCCCTTCCCCTCCCAAATTAGAAAAATGTATATATAAGATGCAGGGTACCAGAATCAAATACCGTGAAAACAGGTTATTCCATGGGGGAAGAACTTACAAAAGAAACAAAAAAAAATCACATAGTACATTAAAAGCAACAGTGACAAAGAAATAAAACAACTTCTTGTGTCGCTATCTTGGGGTTCATTTCGCTTAGCATCATCTTTTTTATAGCAATATTTTTAGTGTGATTAAGTGATTACATAAATTTCACAAATTTGCCTTTTCTCTCTTTATTGGTTGACAAGAATAGACTCTTTTAAGCTTTGTCAAATGAGGGACCAATTCCTTGTGCTGAAGAGCACTTGTAATGTACTGTTTTTTTTCCAGTCGTGGGGCCTGAACTTAGGTCCTAGGCACTGTCCCTCAGTCTTCAGCTCAAGGCTAGTGCTTTACTGCTTGAGCCATAGCACCACTTTTGGCTTTTTCTGCCTATGTGGTGCTGAGGGATCGAACCCAGGGTTTCATGCATGCAAGGCAAGCGCTCTACCACTGAACCACCTTCCCAGCCTTGTAATGTACCTTCACCAACCTCTTCTCAGCATTTCTTGAAGCTTCCATTTGTGTCTGTGAAACTGTCCACTCTCTTTTCCTCACTGATCACCATCCCCTCCTTACTCATGGCTTGCCATGGTCTCCCCTCCTTTCCTCATAGGACATGCTCATTGGATAAACTATAAGCTTTTGATAACCAGCTCGAATTCTCCTCATTTGTCCTAATATAGATGCCCACTGGTGGTAATCTTATTGGCCTAGTTTATCTTTCCGTGTGAGTTCATGTCCTATGTTATTTGATAATTGAGTCTTTTGAGTCCAGCCAATCCTGGATCTAATCGTTTGTTGCATATGGGGAAACACCTTCTTGTGGTTCTCAATATGGCCACTCAGAACCATCCAGCCACATATTGATTCATCTTTAAATTTCTTTTTTGCTCTACGTTACTGGGATTTCAAAATGATGTGTGGCCTCTGTGGCTAGTGACTGTACTTTCAGCTACTTATTTGATGTCCTGTACATGCACCACACCAGCAGTTTTCATTGGTAGAATGGCACTTCTGGCATTATGGGAAGAAGCATTTCAACAGAAGCCTAAGGCAGTATGGGAAGAAGAAACACCATGACTATCCACATGTGATCTGTCACTTGTTATAGGCTGCATTTTTAAATATATTTTTTATTGTAAAGATACTGTACGGACGGGTTACAGTTACATAAGTAATGTAATGAGTTCATTTCCTATTGAGCATTGTTATCCCCTCCTTTGTTTTTCCCCAGCCATCCCTTCCCTCCCGACCTCCCCAACTCCTCCCTCCCCCCTCCACAGTTGTAAAGTTCATTTTCAACATAGTGTCTTGTACATCTCATTGTTACAATGAGTCAACCTGGATCCTTTTTTCAGCATTTTGTTATTTCCATTCCCCTCCCAAATTAGAAAAATGTATATATAAGATGCAGGGTACCAGAATCAAATACAGTGAAAACTGGTTATACCATGGGAGAAGAACATACAAAAGAAACCAAAAAAATCACATAGTACATTATAAGTACGTTAAAAACAACAGCAACAAAGATAAAACCTCTTGTGTCCCTATTTTGGGGTTCATTTGCTTAACATCGTCTTATATGGTCATATATACATGGCTTTTGACCTTTTCTGCTTGTTCTAGACATATACTAGTTATTGAAAATAAGGGAAACCATGGGACCTATGTTTCTTTGGGCCTGGTTTACTTCACGATATAAGTTTTTCCAAGTCTTTCCATTTCCTAACATGTAGGACAATGTCATTCTTTCTAATGGAGGCATGGAATTCATATATATATATATATCACATTTTCTTGATCCATTCATCTACCGAGAGGCATCCATATCTTAGCTATTGTAAATAATGCTGCGATAAGCATACTTGTGCTGGTAGCCTTAGCATGGCCTTGTTTGTGTTTGTTTGGGTAAATGCCCCAAAGAGGGACTTTTGGGTCATAGGGAAGCTCTATGTGGAGTCTTTTGAGGAACCTTCATATTGCTTTCCAAAGTGGTTGAGCAAGTTTACACTCCTACCAACAAAGGGGAACCAAAGGGTTCCCCTTTGGCCACATCCTCTCCAGCAACTGTTGTTATTAGAGTTCTTGATTATAGCCATTCTAACTGGGATAAGGTGGAATCTCAATGTTGTTTTTGATTTGCATTTCTTTTTTTTTTTTTTATTGTAAAGATACTATACAGAGGGTTACAGTTACATGAGTGAGGTAATGAGATTTGCATTTCTTTTATGGCTAGAGAAGTTGAGCATTTCTTCATGTGTCTATTGGCCATTCTTATTTCCTTTTCAGAGAAGTCTTTTTTTTTTTAATTTAATTTTATTTTATTTGTGAACATACTGTACAGAGGGGTTACAATTACATGGG